TATACATAGGGCCTGAAAACTCTAAAAACTCCACACTTCTAAGCTGATTTTGTCCATGTCTGTTAAGACCTACGCTACAGATCAAATTCTCTGTGGATGATGGAACACATTAGGCTGTTCAGCAACTAGGTTGTGGAACAACAGCCCCTTTTGTACGTGCACTCCTGTTAACCTGACTGCACCTGAATGTATCGGCTTCATGTCTGAAGGAGCGCCTGGTCACTTTTCCTGGGCCAGACCTAGTAGCATTTACATATCACTCTCAACATGGTACAAGTGTGAACTGCATGCAGTTGCACAGACAGGCATGCACATGGTTACCGTGTACTAATGTAGGGCACCGTCAGTGGGCTGACCACTCACGACAGCCTGGGTGTCACTGTGAGCTGCTCAGCTCCCTAAAACACATGACTGCTTTGGGCGGCTGTGGCTCAGGAGGTAGAGCGGGTCGTTTCCTAACCGGAGGATTAGCGGTTCAATTCCCAGCTTGCCCAGTCACCATGTCAAGGTGTCCTTGAGCAAGACACTGAACCCCCAGTTGCTCCCGGTGATGTGAGTGCGAATGGGTGAATGGCCGAATAATGTGAAAGCGCTTTGAGTGTGCTGTATAAGCATAGAAAGGCGCTATACAAGTATAAGACCATTTACCAAGACCATTTGGAGAATGTCCTAAACAGCAAGAACATGAGGAAAAACTGCCTCCAGGAGCACAGTTGTGGTTAGAAAACTCTGGCCTCATACGTCACTTGATGTACTGTCCAGTCTCGTGCGCACCATGGCTCTCTGTGCCACAGCTGTGGGTTTGTCTGAGTGAAGCTGAGAGGAACATTAATGTAAAAGTGTTGACTGTTACTGACAGAACCTTAACAAACTGATGAAGCAGCAATGCTACGTATCCCGTGTCTGAGAAGGGCCAGTGACGTGGCCCAGAACTTCTCCCGGCAATTCACCAGTGGATGTCACCCTTTTTATCCTTGTGCAAAAATTGTGTAGTATTCCTTCTGTTGGCAACTGAGGAGTTTTCAGATACTTAAAAACATCTGAAACTTGTGAAACTATTACATATTTTCAGTATTTTCACTGTTTCATTTCTTGCCTTTTAAAATTATTTCATTAAAGTCATTTTATATTTATTTAGTAGAACCCTTTAACCTCAAAGAATAAAGCATTACATTTCACCCTTCTTTAATGAAGACATCTATCAGGATACCTCTTAAAGCCTTCCTGGCACATGAGACTGAAAGCCTGTTCAAACCTTTCTTCATACAAATCACGTTGAAGGTTGTTTTCAGCTGAAACAGTTCATATTTGAAAAGGCAGACAATCCAATCAAAGGCCCACAGCAAAGCTGTGGCGCTCATGTTGATGGAAGTAAAGGTCAGAACGGGTTGGGAGCAATAATGCACACATAGCAGAAGCAATAACTGTCACACATGGAAGTGTCAGGAGCAGTGGCACCAGCAATTCGCTTGCTTATGGGCAAGGTTACTGAATCACAGTCTTTAAGAAGTGATGGTCCGTGACCAGCTCTGCAGTGGTTTGGAAGTGTCTATTCTCTGGCCATCAAGTCCACACAAGACCGTTGGACACATCCAGCCCAGACTGTAAAAAACACCCAGTGGATATGTCAGACTTACCAGCTCTGACACTGTCACGCATTCTCTGTGCAACTCACTCCCGATGGACCACAGGTGAGGTTCCGCCCTTATGTCAGAAGGTCCTGCAGCAGCTAACACAGAGCCTGATAAACCTGACAGAAACAGTGTCATATATTTTCACCTTTGGTCATTTCTTGTGTGCGTCTCATTGGTTGTTGAGATAACCAAGCCGTCGGCAGAGGATCTCAAATATCTCAGCAACACAGAGAACGACGGTGATCACAGTGAAGATGTACATGGCACTGAGGAAGATAGTTTTCTCAAAATGTTCAGGCACCATGCACTTGGTTACATTAAAGGCCTTTTCCAACGCACTGGCATCACAGATGAACAGCGGGTGGACCTGGAGGACAAAGAGAGAAACATGAGGCGGCAACACTTTCACAACTGCCTGAACTCACAAGCTCTGTTCGCACAGTCCCTGTTGTTTCTCATTGATGTTCAGTGTATTTTATTGAACAGCACAAGCGCCCAATGAGTAAGTTTTTTTAAAAACGCTGTCTAACTCCCAAAGTGATTTCAAACTTCTTTGCACTTATTGCCAGAAATCCAATTAAATCTACACTGTTCTCATTTGATGGTCTTTTAAATACACATGCAATAAGAAGTTGGCTGCAGCCTTTGGCGCCGCTAGTAAAGATTAAAAACTGCTAAGAAGATGAGCAGCCGTGGAGGAATCATGACACAATTACATTAAACAGGGACTGTGTGTAGCACCTGAGCCCATGAAGCAAACAATACTGTATGTCTGTACAGATGCTGATGACATAACATCACTAGCAGCTTGTCAATCACCTGCACTTTGAATAACATTAATGTGAAGGAAAGGTGCTGAGCTGCTGGTGGATGTGATCCATGTGTTCAGTAAAGATGTTCCCTGAGTTGTTCTGAGTATGACCAACAGGAACCCTTGGCAGTGCAGGACAAACTGTACAGATGACATTTTCTGGCTGGCCTGAGACAACTCGGGCACCACCCAGGAGGAAACTGAGGAATTTCTTAGTGAAAAACATGTAGGGTACTCTGCATGCTCCAACGATTCTGCCATGATAAGCAACTTAGCAATGGATGGATGGACATGCATAGCTGTGACACGTTTAAAATAATTCAAAACTGACAGACCTGGAAGCCAAAGAGGTGGCTCTGTAGCCAGAAGGCGATGACTTCCAGAATGATGCGCAGGAGAACAGAAATGATGTAGAAGACTGTGTAGGTGGGTCGTTCGAGGATCTCCTCCTGGTCAGTGTTCTTACAGGCTGCATAGAGGTGGAACACGGCCCCGGGAACTAGCACCGTTACCAGCTGTAATGCCCAGAAAACCTGGAAAGGGCAGAAAGAAAGCAAAGGGGAGGGTGAGAAAACCCCCGTGGAATGAGAAAACAGGATAAATGATGATGATGAAGGAAGAAAGCAAGACAGAAACAAACACTAAGAGGAGTTGGTGAGTGAAGTCAAAATGTTACAGGGTTGGAGAGAGAACAGAAAAAAAGAAGCTGAGCGAGCAGAGACGTACGAGGAAGGAATCATGAAAACATTGTTTTGTTAAGTTAGACTTTCTATAGATACTTGCTGTTGATAAAGGTAGTTGACCACTGTTTTAGCATGATTTAACATGGTTGTTTACATAATTTGATGTTAGAGAACTAGTAGAATACGTTACCATGTGATTCATATGTATGATGAGTTTGGTTAGGCTGATAGGGAACCGCGGGACTGGGTGAACTTGTGATATAAGTCAGTCTTTTATAACTAGGATTATAGTAAAGGCTGTCACATTTTACTTAAGATTACTTTAACTTAGCTGCAGAGACACTTCAACAACAGACAAGTTTCATTTTAAAGGCTCTAAAACGTACCGTTGGCCGTTGTCTGTTATCATTTCTTTTGCTACATATCAGATAGTATGGAAACATACAAAAATGATCCATTTAGCCAAATCTGGCCTCAAAGGTAGTTTAGCTTCGTTTACCTCAGCTCTGTGGACCAGTGGGCTACATCACTGTGCAACCTATGTGTGCCTTTAAGTTCAGTCCAGGGGATTTTAGTCTAGTCCTACCTGAGGTGTTATGGGTCTGAACTGGTTGTAGCAGTACAGATTGAGCTCTCGGCGATCAGGGTCACAGCTGAAGTGCAGTGCCTCGTTCCCATAGACGGCGAAGCCAAGAACACCCAGGAAGAACATCCGCACTGAGCCGAAGAACAAGGTGTGGAACTGGCCTATCACTGTCGGAGGCCTGAGCTGGAACAAGCATCCACAAACAATCATCCACATGTTCATGGCGCGCGCACACACACACACACACACACACACACACACACACACACACACACACAGAGTCAGCGACAAAGAGAAAATAGCTTTTGTCAGCTAGATAGATGCAGCTGCAGCACCGACTCACTGAGGCTCTGAAGGCTCAAACAAAACCCATTCAGAGGAAACATTTCCCACCTGCTCTGCTCTGACACTAACCCTGAGTCCTGATCACCAGAAAAAGGTCTAGATGACACTGTCAGGTCCGCTTGGTGCGACCTGCCTCTCTTTCTTTTTCCCTCTCCTGCTCTCCCTTTTTGCGGGATTGTTATGTTGGCAGCCATCTTGAGTGCAACCCCAGTTCTCCCTCACCTGGAGGGTGAGGGGGACTAAACCATAACAGACACTTTGACAAAGCAGAGAGCCATTTGGCTTACAAATATGTCACTGAGCTATGCAACGATAAAGGAGATAGATTAAAAAGCTAAGAGCGAAAACAGATCAATGTCTTTTCACTTAAAGCCCGGGAGGATAATTGTCTCCACATCACTCCTCAGTAACTCAAATCTTGAGGCGGGAAGTGTCAGTCATTCGTAGAAGAAACTGTGCGCTCCACACAGTGTCAATAACAGCCAGGTCCCTGCAGTCAGCCCCTGTGATACTCACACATCCTTCGTAGAAGTTTTTAATGTAGTTTAAAGACATGGTTTGCTTGTTGGTCTTCCCAGTTTGATTCCGGGGCTGCTCCGTGCCCTCGTGGCCAGTTCGCTGCTGGCATCAGTGAAAGGCCATCAAACAGAGGGGCTCCGTAATCTCCAGCTGACCCCTCTCCCTCTCTCTGTCCTAAAAACCCACGTCAATGCATATTTTTTGCCTTTTATCTCATACTCAGTGAAAAAAGGACAACAGTGCCAGAGGGACCAACAAGGGGCCGAGAGTGCATGTGGCCCCTGCATTATAATCCCTATAGACTATGTCAGCGAAAAAACAGCCGTCGCAGACAGAGTGGCAAATACGCAACAAAAGTACAATGCACCTCGCTAACTAAAGGGCCACAGGAGCTCCACTGATCTTAATGACTGTTCTGAAAAGTTTTTACATTTTGGAGCTTTATTTTGAAAACTGTCTGCTCGTAGCTTTATCATTCTGATCAACGGGTCACTGTAAATGCCAGATATACGTTGTTATGACCATTTTGACACTTTCTGACACGAAGCTTACTTTTTTTATGAAGTCTTTTTTTACGTGGACACATGATTAAATGTCTATCAGAAAAATACAACGTCAAAAACGGAGTGATGACAACACACCCTGCACTGTAAATACTTGGTGAAGCGCGTTCACGGAGCTGCTCACGGTCCCTAGGCGAGTCAGAGCGACCAGCCGCCAGCACAGACAGAAAACCTCGATCGAAACTCAAACACCAAAAGCCAAAACTGGACAAATTAAAAAGTCAGTCCACACACCAACCGTAATCCTGGCGGCGTGTTGTTCATTCCCCCCTCTTTTTCCACCCAGGAATCATAAACCTATGGCAGGTGCGGGACCGTGCGGGACAGAGTTTACGTCAAGTCAGACGGAGTTAACTTGGGGAACTTCCGGTCACAGCTCTCAAAACGATGTGTGTGTCAACATTAAGTCGAGGGATTAAGTCCGTTTCACTCGACACAGTGTGCGAGCTGCAGAGACCATGTTCTGTTTCTCACCTCACTTCTGATGTGGCAGCACGAAAGAAATCTATTTTCAGACATGATCGCTAAACTTGTAGAGTTCGTGCATTTATTTTGAAGGCACAGTCATGCTTCCGGCACCACCCGTACTAACTATGTTAGGCTTGATACATCTTTGACAGCTCGTAACGGCTGCGCTCCGCGGTGCCACTGGATCGTCTCTGTGCGTAAAAACCTCTTGGCTCTGCGTTCAGGAAGAAAGTCGTGGCGAAGTCACGAACTGACGGGTCTGATCTGAGGTCAGACAATGACTGGGCGCTTTGGCAGGCGTGCAACGCTTTACAGAGAAACTTGGAGCAAAAAGAGTAGAGCGCACAGTTTCTTCTACGAATGACTGAAAAGATAAGAATCTATATCGGTCAGGTTTCAGTTAAACGTGTTAAATCAGCCAGAAAATTAAAGAGAGAACACTGACCCCAAAAAATGGACCCGATGCTGTGAATCGATTCTTTTACATTTATAATAGGTCTCAGGTGATTTTTGTAGGATTGTCTCTGCATTGCTATGGCGCAAAACGAGCTGCGCCGTTGGATGGATGCATGGATGATCTCGATGGAAATTCAGGAACACAACAGACCTGTCATATATTTCAAATAGAGCTATTTGCCTTCTTCTTCTTCTTAAACAAACTAAGACATTTACAGTGTTGTTTATTTAGAGAATTACATTTAATAATGTGCAGGGTCTATTATGTATCAGGCAGGTTTTAGGAACCACACAGTGGATGGAACCCGGGGCACTTTAGGGAACAAATGCCCAAACGTCTTTCAGGTAATTCCGCATTATTTCCCATAAAGGCTTCATCACAGAGCATGATGAACCCTATAAAGGTCCCTCTTGTCCTCTCACTCCTCCAACACCTTCTATTCTCAGTATCCCTGTTCTTTTTAAGCACTGAAACATGCTGTCATCCCCAAGTTGATGGTCAAGTATTTTGGACTAAACCTCTGTTACCCATGTTTTCTGGTGTTCACCGTTTGTGTGCGTCAGTACAAACATACAGCAGAAACAGACCTGTTGACTGAAGAACACAGATGCCTGATTTCTAATAACTCACACTTGTTAAATTATGTATCTGAACATACGTGATAACAAATTTTCGGATATCCATCCATTTTCCTCTGCTTATCCGGGACCGGGTCGCGGGGGCAGCAGTCTAAGCAAAGATGCCCAGACCTCCCTCTCTCCAGACACTTCCTCCAGCTCCTCCGGGGAAATGCCGAGGCGTTCCCAAGCCAGCCGAGAGACATAGTCCCTCCAGCGTGTCCTGGGTCTTCCCCGGGGCCTCCTCCCGGTGGGACATGCCCCGAACACCTCCCTAGAAAGGCGCCCAGGAGGCATCCGAAACAGATGCCCGACAGACGGGCAAATTTGCAGATTGGATTATTTAAACCTTAGAAACTGAAGATCATGTTCCAACTCGTGTAGCGCACCTCCCATCACTGCCATCTAGGACTGTGATACACTCCGCCTGTCAAAGTTAACTTGTGCTCACTGGAGCAGCACAAGTTCCAGCTCCAGATGGAAACCTTCATCAAATAGCCTCATGTACAAGGACAGGAGTGAGAAGAACTGAAGTAAGAAAACATCCTTCTGCATGATGCTGCTGTCACCCTGCTCGGTCTTGTCTCTGCTGCACTACACCCTTTCTGCTTGGACATTTCTTTGAATCCTTCTGATAAAATGGACTGACCCCGGAGCCATGAGAGTGATGTGTGTGTGTGACCTGATCCCTGAACTTGACACCGTTTCCCTGTTGATTTTCAGCAAGTCAACACTGGAAAAAGACGAGATCATTCTACACATTTCTCAAAGCACAAGTGATTTTTATTTGCCTTTGCTCCAACTCTTTTGTTTGACTCTATGTCCCTGATAATAATGAAACACACTGGCTTAGAGAAAGTACTCTGATCATGTTTGAGTCTTGAAACGTGGTGAATTAGTCCACACAAAGTCAGTTGTATGCAGATGTTGGTAGAAGAGGAGCTCATGAATGTGGCTGCTCATGCTTCCTGTGGACTCCTGGAGGTGTGTTCATTCTCATTCATCACTTTTTGACCCAAGTCACCGACTGATGTTTGTGCACAAATCTTGAAAATGCATGAGTTTTCTGCAGAATCTACTGGGACGGTGGGTCCACAGTGAAATCATAAAGGCAGTGAGATCAGTGCTCCTGACCGTTTGTTGGTCGCCAGCTGTCAGTTACTTCTCCACAGTCACTGTTAAAAGAGCTGATGGTGAATAGTTTTTAATGCATGAATTTTTCAGACCTTTAATAAAATATTGCTGTTGTGAGGACATGTTTTTATTTATGTTACAAAGCCACAGAATGTGGCTTGTATTTTGTAATTACAGAATTGCCTGTAATTATTTGTTACATTAATATAAACATTTTAGTGCAGCACTAAAACTGCAGACCAAACATCACACTGCTAATTTGACAGTTTAATGGTTCAGTAGTGAATATCCTGCAGTTATGTGTAAAACTGCAGCTTTTAAATAAAAATGGGAAACAAACCGAGCGCAGCTGCTTCCTCAGTGTCCTACAGGAGGCCGAGGACCTCTGATTGAACACCCAGAGGTTATGATCCCCATATCAAAGTGTTATGGTATAAATGTGACACAGTGAAAAGGATGCATTGCTGTTAGACACACAGCACCCCAACTTTCACCCCACCACCACCACCATTATCCCCACTCTCTCTCTCTGCCTCCTTCTCCTGTTACCATATTATGTTCATGTCCATCCATCTGTCTTGGTCAGCTCTTTCTCCTCTGCTCTCCTTCACCTCATCAATGACCAAACATATGTGGACATGCATGCATTTCAGCTATATATGACAATGTGGTGTACTTGTAGCTGTGACAGTCTCTGCTCTTCTGGTGTCAGTGCTATCACCAGATGCTGAGACTGGGATTGAAAAAAGCAGCCCTAGATCACAGGTGTCCACTTCTGGCCACACAAACTCTTCCTTTCTTAACATCTTTGCTCCGTTTTTCTACCTAGTTGAGCATCTATGTTCACATTGTGTCCAAAAGTATGTGGACACACATGTTCAGTCTATCGCCTCTTTCTTGCAGACCCCCCCCCGCGCGCGCACACACACACACACACACACACACACACACACACACACACACAGACTGAGAAAACAGTACCAAAG